GCTCCCTGGGCGGGGGGAGGGGGACTCAGCCCACCCGGTCGGTGCAACGCGCTATTAAACGCCATCCACAGGCACTTGCCATTTTGTTTCAAAAAAGAAAGGCTCCGCCCTGACCGGTTTGGCTCAGTGGATAGAGCGTCGGCCTGCAGACTGAAGGGTCCCAGGTTCGATTCCGGTCAAGGGCATGTACCTTGGTTTCGGGCACATCCCCAGTGGGGAGTGCGCAGGAGGCGGCTGATCGATGTTTCTCTCTCATGGATGTTTCTAACTCTCTCTCCCTCTCCCTTCCTCTCTGTAAAAAATCAATAAAAATATAAAGAAAGGCTCACCTATCGCACCGCAATGGCGCCTGCGCAGACTGTACCTCCTGAGCCTCCGTCTGCTGTCTTGCCAAATGGGACAGTGAGACTCGGTTAATGAGGAGACCTCATTACAGTCTTTAACCATAAGGTGTTTTTTTTTTAAAAAAAAAAAAAAAAGAAGAAAAAGGGTGTCCTCCCGATGGGCAGTCAACCGCCCCCCCCTCCAAAATCAAGTTTTAAAAATTATAAACAAAGAAGACAGCTGCATCGAGACGCGGAATGGGGCCTGCACGCGCTTGCTCCTTCCGGAAGCACTGCCTTGGGTTAGGGTTCTTCTCATTGTCCAGGAGACTTACAAATCTTTTTATCTTTTGGGGTGCTCCCTCATCCCTACCGTATTTCTTAGTTTCCTTTGCTATTTTCTCACTATTGTCCTTTATCCTTTAGATTTAATCTGGGGCAGCCTTGCCTTGCTTGTCCCTCAACTTGCCTCTGTTCATTTTAATTTCCATTACTACACTTTGACCTAAATTTTTTTAAATTGATTTCAGAGAGGAAGGGAGAGAGATAGGGAGATAGAAACATCAATGATGACAGAGATCATTGATCGGCTGCCTATGCCCTTGGCCTCAGTCGAACCTGGGACCCTTTAGTCTGCAGGCCCATGCTCTATCCACGGAGCCAAACCAGCTAGGCCAACCTAAATTATTTCAACACTGTCAGTTTGCAAATAACCTATATAATAAAACCCTAATACATATACAAATCGACCTAATGGCGGAACTACCACTCACTATGACGTGCACTGACCACCAGGGGCCAGGGGCTCAACGCAGGAGCTGCCTCCTAGTGGTCAATGCGCTCCCACAGGGGAAGCGCTGCTCAGCCAGAAGCCGTGCTCACAGCTGACAAGTGCAGTGGCAGTGGTGGGAGCTTCTCCCGCCTCTGGGGCAGGGCTAAAGACCCCTTAGGGGATGCCCACCTGCCGGCTTAGGCCCGCTACCTGTCCTGGACTGGGAGAGGCCACAGGCTGCAGGCTGGGCTGAGGGAGCCTCCCCAGTACACAAATGTCCTGCACAGGGCCTCTAGTTTTTAGAATGAATTAGTAACTGGATCACTACAGCCAGTTCTGCTAGATTCCCTATTTCTTCTAGTCTTTCCCTATAACCTATTTACATCCATAACCTCAAGGGAGAGAATCTTCCTAAAAAACCCCTAAAATGCTTCTTTCATTCTGTCACTTTTCACTCAGAAATCTTAAAAGCTTCCTTTTTTTTTTTTTTTGCTTCCAGAACACTGTCCATACCCTTGAGCAAGGGGTTCAGTCTGAGCTCTGGCCTCCAACGTCGGCTGCCATCCTCACCGTCTTCGCACACTGCTGCCAGCAGGGTGGCTCAGCTGTGCTCCCCACACACAGTCCTCCACACAGCAAGCATGTCAAACTCAAAGGCTAACACAGGCCAAATAAACAAGGTATGTGTATGTGGCCGCAAAAAACAAAAGCTTCAATTTTCATAGAAATGTAGGTTTATTTTATAGAGACATGCTGAATACAAAGGGCTGAAATAAATGAGTCATCGTTAACATAAAATAATAGAACATTTTAATAAAAATTATTTTTTCTTGAACATTAACTTACCAGACACTGAAAAACTGCACAAATTAATAAGCATAACGCAAGTAAGCCTATTTTTCTTGTTCTCCGAAAGCGAAATATTTCCTTTTGCACACACCAAACAAGTCAGTCCAAGACTAATGACATGGCCATCGGCTGCTAAAATATTCGCTGCTAGTATTAGTGGAGAGAAATGGTGCGCCTGCGCGTAAGGTACGTAAGGGAAATGAATGCAACACGATTATAGTAATCAGTCATTAGCGAACGTTGTAGTTCGTTATTAATAATTATGTATAACAGGATATTATAAAATTTAAGTTACAAAATTTTTATTAAAACATTTCTTACATACCCGTTATATTTCCTGGGCCGCAAAAATATTGGTTGTGGGCCGCATGCAGCCCGCAGGCCGCGAGTTTGACAGGCTTGCTCTACGGGGCCTGCTCAAGGCTCCCCACACACAATCCTCTGGGCCTGCTCACCACGCCCGTCCCTTCCTGGCTCTAATCCTCAACAAGCAGGCCACATCAATCTAATTTTGATACTGTTAGGGGCAGAAATAGAATATTGGGGACTAGCTATGGTTAAGGGTAATATTAACCATGCTCTGTTAACCATGATTGCCTTGTGTTGGTTAAAGAAAGGACATTCTAACCTGGCTGGGAGTTGAACGCCCCCAGGACCTGGAAGCCAACCTTTGAATGCGGTCCATTCTCATTCAAGAACTGCCTATTAACATGGAAAGATGAACAACCTTGTTGCCCAAACAATGCAGTTCCACCCCAACCTGCATAGCCCCATGCCTGTAACCCATACTTCCCCATGTAATCTCCCTCCCACCCTATATAAGCAGCTGGTTTGTGGTGGGGAACAGAGCAGATTTCTGTGGTTGACCTGCTGCCGGCAGGATTGGAATAAACGCTCATATATATATTCAACCCTGCTTAATTGGCTCAAGTAGTGACAGGCAGCCGGACCCATTGGTTGTCCGGTTACAATACTTGGTTATTTTCTATCTTAAGACTTCCTTTGACTTTGCTCTGTGTGGAACTCTGACCTGAGGTCAGGGCCTTGAGTAACTCTGTGAGGACAGGAGCTCCTCTGCAAACCTGTGTTCTCCATCACGCCATGCACATAGCTCTGATCTAGTGGTGGGAATTAATTACTTGTTGAATTATTAGACTAATTTCTTCCATAGTTATTGGCCTGTTGAGATTTTTAGATTCTTCCTGATTAAGTTTTGAATGTTGTATTTTTCTAGGAATATGTCCATTTCCTCCAGGTTGTTTAGTTTGTTGGAGTAGAGTTGTCCATAGTATTTTTTAACAATCATTTGTATTTCTGTGGGGTCTGTTGTTATTTCGCCTCTATCGTTTCTGATTTTGTTTATTTGGGTCCTCTCTCTTTGCTTCTTGGTGAGCCTGGCTAGAGGTTTGTCAATCTTGTTTATCCTTTCAAAGAACCAGCTCTTGGTTTCATTGATTTTCTGTATTGTTTTTTTGGTCTCTATGTCATTTATTTCTGCTCTAATCTTTATTATCTCCTTCCTTCTGCTCACTCTGGGCTTATCTTGTTGCTCTCTTTCTAATTCTTTGAGCTGTAGATTTAGATGATTTACTACCATTTTTTCTTGTTTGTTGAGGTAGGCCTGTAGAGCTATAAACTTCCCTCTCAGGACTGCTTTCATTGTGTCCCAAAGGTTTTGGATTGTTGTGTTTTCATTGTCATTAGTTTCCAGGATGTTTTTAATTTCTTCTTTGATCTCATTGGTAACCCAATCAATATTTAATAACATGCTATTCAGCTTCCAAGTGTTTGAGTATTTTGGGTTGTTTTTATTGTAGTTTATTTCTAACATTATGCCATCGTGGTCTGAGAAGAAGCTTTTTATGATTTCAATCTTCTTGAATTTGGGGAGACTTTGCTTGTGACCCAATATGTGGTCTATTTTTGAAGATGTCCCATGAGCACTTGAGAAGAACGTATATTTTGTTGCTTTGGGGTGAAGTGTTCTGAAGATGTCAATTAAGTCCATCTGATCTAGTGAGTCATTTAGGATTGCTGTTTCTCTGCTGATTGTTTGTCTAGAGGACTTATCCAGTGATGTCAGTGGTGTATTAAAGTCCCCTACTATGATTGTATTGTTGTCGATCTCTCCTTTGATATCTTCCAGGAGTTTTTTTATGTATTTGGGTGCTCCTGCATTGGGTGCATATATGTTTACCAGGGTTATATCTTCTTGTTGTATTGATCCCTTTAGTATTATGAAGTGGCCTTCCTTATCTCTGGTTATGGCCTTCACTTTGAGATGTATTTTGTCCGATATAAGTATTGCTACCCCAGCTTTCTTTTCCTTTCCATTTGCGTGAAAGATATTTTTCCATCCCTTCACTTTCAGTCTGTGTGAGTCCCTTCTAATGAGGTGGGTCTCTTGTAGACAGCAGATGTATGGGTCATGTTTTTTTATCCATTCAGCCACTCGATGTCTTTTGGTTGGAGCATTTAGTCCGTTTACATTTAAAGTTATTATTGAAAGGTACTTGTTTGTAGCCATTTCTTTTTTTGTGTGTGTGGCTGTTTTCTTTCTGAGCTTGTTATTTCTTCTTTTTACACCAGTCCCTTTAGCATTTCTTGCATGGCTGGCTTGGTGGTGATAAACTCCCTTAGCCTTTTTTTGTCTGTGAAGCTTCTTATTTCCCCTTCAATTTTGAATGATAGCCTTGCTGGATAGAGTATTCTTGGATTCAGTCCTTTGCTTTGCATCACTTTGTAAATTTCTGTCCATTCTTTCCTGGCCTGATGTGTTTCTGTTGAGAAATCATTTGATAATCTAATGGGAGATCCCTTGTATGTAACTTTCCGTCTCTCTCTTGCAGCCTGTAAGATTCTCTCTTTGTCCTGAACATTTGCCATGGTAATTATGATGTGTCTTGGTGTGGGTCTTTTCGGATTCACCTTGTTTGGGACTCTCTGGGCTTGTGTGACTTTTTTCTTCCCCACCTCAGGGAAGTTTTCTGATATTATTTCTTCGAATAGGTTTTCTAATCCATGTTCATCTTTCTGTTGTTCTGGCACCCCTATTATTCGTATGTTGTTTCGTTTCATGTTGTCCCAAAGCTCCCTTAGGCTCTCCTCCTGTCTTTTAATTTTTTTCTCCAATTGCAGTACAGTTTGGGTGTGTTTTGCTTCCTTGTCTTCTAATTCACTAATTCGGTCCTCCGCTTCTCCTAGTCTACTGTTGATACTTTCAATGGAGTTTTTTATGGCAGCTATATCACTCTTCATTTCTTCTTGGGCCTTACTTAAGTTGTTGATTTTTTCATCTGTTTCTTCTAGCTTCTTGCATATGGTATTGAATTTTTCATCTGATTCTTCTAGCTTCTTGCATATGGTATTGAATTTTTCATCTGATTCTTCTAGCTTCTTGCATATGGTATTGAATTTTTCATCTGATTCTTCTAGCTTCTTGCATATGGTATTGAATTTTTCATCTGATTCTTCTAGCTTCTTGCATATGGTATTGAATTTTTCATCTGATTCTTCTAGCTTCTTGCATATGGTATTGATTTTTTCCTCCGACCGGTGCATGTACTCTAGGACCCTTATTCTGAATTCTTTTTCCGTCATGTTGCATGCCTCTGTCTCACTTAGCTGCTTTTCTGGCGAGTCCTCCTTCTCTTTCCTTTGGGGGTTTCTTTGTCTACCCATGTTTGATCTCACTGACATATCTAGTTGTTGAGTCGTTCAGTGGCTGCTCCCTGGGTGGCAGTGGCTCCTCGGGCTGTGGTTGCTCCTTGGGCGGTTGTGGTAGCAGTGGCTCCTCCGTTGATAGCAGGGCCTCTGGTGGGTGCTGTTCACAGCTGTGGTGGCTCTTCTGGCAGGTGGAGGGAGGCTTCACACACAGTAACTGTTCCCCAGACAGAGCGTGTGGAGATCAGGAGGCCGCTGTTGCTTGAATCTGCTGCGTTGATTTAAAGGCACAAAATACAACACAACAAGGCACAACGTACCAGGCACTGAACACGAATGTATTTACGATATCAATAACCCCAAATAAAGGTGGCCACCCGAGCTAAGAGAGTTAGGAGATAAGGAAGAAAGAAGAGAAAAAGGTAGAAGAGAAAAAAGAAAGAAAGAAAAAAGAAAAAAAAAGGAGTGCAAAAATAAAATTGGAAAAAGGGAGGGGAAAAAAGAAGAGGAAAAAGAAAAAAAAAAGTAAGAGAGAAAAGAGAGTGAAGTATAAGAGGGGAAGAGACTATTTATATGAGGGGAAAACTCCTATAGAACCGCCACTAATACCAACAATTTACAGCAGCAGATTCCTGGAGATGAATACAAACTACAAACAACCAATAATATCAAGCGACGCAAGGGAAAACAGAAGCACAGAAATAACCGGGGGGCGGGGGGAGAAAAATAAAAAGAATAAGCAGACTAACCTCACAAACGATCCTAAAAAAACCCCCAATATACTCGTCAATCGAGCAAACAACAATAAACAATAGAGAGAGAAAAGAAGAAGAAGAAGAAAAAAATTTGGATAGTGAAGGAAGATAAGGGAAAGGTGTATAAGGATTTAGAGCAGGGGATTGGACATAGGGTATATAAGTAGGGTGAAATTTTGACAGGGGGTAAAAAGAATAGGGAAGATCTAAACCTGGAGTAGGGTAAGAGAAACAGGACAACAAAAGGGAAAAAGTGGGGAAGAGGGTTTAGCACAGAGGCAAATTGAGGTAGAGAAAAATGTTGCTAAAGGAACGATGAAAATAGAATGGAGGACATTAGTCCCAAAATAAAAAAATAAAAAAAATAAAAGAAAAGAAAATGACACTTTAAAAAATGGTAAAATGGTAGCGGTAATAATACTAGTTAAAAATAAAAATGTAGTAGTTGAAAGGGTAAAATCAGGTGATGGGAAAAAAAAAAAAGAAAAACAATGTTTTCTTAGTTAAAAGGTGAAAAAGTAATTAAAAAAAATAAAAATAAAAATGTGCAGTAATGCAGGTGCTTCAGATCTTCTACTCTTCTTTTTGGCACGCCCGGAATTCAGGAGAATGTTGAATTTCCCTCTGATACACTGTTCCTCCGTGTTGTAAGCCACAGTCCTGATTTTAAGGCAGGCCGTATTGGTTCCCCTTACTGCTGTATTTGTATGTACAGAAGAGTCAGTTCGTGGCTCTGCCTCTGGGTGGCAGTGTGTCTGGATTGACCTCCAAGGCTTTAAGTCCTCTCTGACCAGGAGTTCTCTATTGTACCTGAACCAGCTCCGCCCAGATCTGTTTCACCAGTCGCCACTCTCAGCTCTGTTTTCCAGGCTCCCCAAAAACAATCTTCCCCTACAAGCTCCGCTAGCGACCCCAATTGGGCAATCACATGCACCGGGATCAACAATCAAACTCACAGATTTAAGAGGAAGTGTGTAAACAAGAGCCTGGGAGGCTGTGGGAACTCGCAGGGTTCCACCTTCCAGAACTCCGCGGAGTCTCAGAGCTGGTTTTTTAATCGTTACCCTGCTCTGTACCTTTTCCTCTTTCAGGCAAAAATTCCACCCTAACCTAGGAAGAAGTACAGACAGGGTTCAGAGATGATGACGAGAGCTACCATTCACAAACCACCCACTCTGTAAAAGACACCGGACACATTTCATCTACAAGCCTTTCACAAACCTGCAAGTGCCACATCCCCATTTTAAGGAGGGAAACAAGGCTCAGAGTGACAGGGTCACTTGCCCAAGGTCACTAAGCAAGTGAAAGAGAACAGGCCTTGAATTCCGGTCTGGCTGGCTTCCATGTTCTCGTTTTGCCATGATCTTACGTAATAAAGGACGAGATGACCTGTATTTTTTCATTTTGCCACCCAAATATTCCACTTAACTTGCCAACCCTTC